ACCCGGATGGAGCTATTCTGCAAGAACAGCAGAGCAATGGACAAGCTCCCGCCTACACAGGTAAATATTACTTTTTTCTTTATCACAATTTGTCTCCAATTTACTTATGAGAAGAAGAGTCAGGGGGCCAGGACGCTAACAGGACACATACTCGCAATGACAAGTTTGAACTAACCCGCTGCACCCTCTTTCCATGAAACTAGGATCAATCTCTTTCTAAATAATCCTTAATAACATCGACAATGTTGTTATTTGCAGGCYATGCCCTTTTGCAGCATGTCCGGCGCACCGTTTACMAGGCCGGTATCTGGACAGTTAGCAATCAGCCACAGCCACCTGTGCCATCRCCAGGGCAGTTCTCGTGGTTTGAAGTTGATGGCAAATGGGTTCCGAAATGGATCACTATTCCCAAAGTATCCAAGGCTTGCAGTGAACTGATTAAGTGCTCTTGCAAACGTGCCTGTACAAGATGCAAGTGTGCCAAGGCTTCCTTGGGATGTACCCCCCTTTGTAGATGCCAATGCTAACAAAGTAATTGCATCAAGCTTAAGGGACAATCTGAAGAGTTTCAGCGAACGAACATTGTTTCCGTTATGTAGCCCTAACTTAATTCAAATAATATAGTTATCTCTTGGCGTTTCTATTAGCGCTATTTAAAAGTACATTTGTTTCGCGAACATATATCGATCTAACAGCAGTAATTTAGGTTCAAAATGCGAATTTGAGAAAGGGGACGTGAATTGCAATAAGCTTTGGCGAGAAGGGACTGGGAACTAGTATATATCCAAAAGCCTTATGTAATGCATATGCGAAGAAATACCCAAAAGCCTTATGTAATATATATGCGAAGAAATGAGTAAGCATAATAGTTTCAGTCAATAAATGTCACTACTGCATTTCTTGTGAGCTGTTTTACTTGAAAACTGCAAACCACCACAGGTAGCCCAATTCGTAATTAAGGTAAATTAAAAAACCCCTTAATCCCCCTTAATTGTGAGAATTGCGTTGGGCTCCCCCTCTAACATTATTTAGTGGATCCTAAGGAACATMTCTGCCAAATTTGGCGCTTTTGTCACTTCTGTAACGATGGGACCTATATTTTGCCATAAGAGACCTGACTATAAGTATAGTATGAGATTTGATGTAGTGCATTTATATAATGGGTTAGTGTTACCATAGTAACCAATCAGTTGGTTTTCCATTCAATATCTATTTTGCATGTGTGGTCATCTTAGTACTGTTCTCCTAACCACCACTGTGTGGTAGACTGTTGTGTTGCAGTGTATTTGAATACTGGGTTAGTGTTACCATAGTAACAGGATCCCATATTCCAAGGTCAGTAGATGTACTGTGTGGTCACCCTAAAGCTGTNTATTCCTGTCATTTTTGAGGCTAGAAGAATGTCCGTTGAACCATGTTCAGTGTGATCCAGGGCCACTTTTTCTTTTACTAACCACTAATAATAGTCAGGTCTCTTATGGTCTTGATCGTTACAGAGCTTACAAAAGCACCAAACTTGGCACAGTTGTAGCTTATGGTAGTACTATCAATGTTAGAGGGGGAGCCCAACGTAAATTGTCCTTTAAGCGGAAATAAAGGAGGATTTACTTTTTCAAATTTCACGAATTGGGCTCCCTGTGCTTCTTTTTTAAAATATGTTCATTAAATATGTAAAATCGTTTTGAATAAATTTTAAAACAGCTATCTACCCATTGGAATGAATTATCTGTCATGGCTATCGATTACAACCCCAAATCTTAACAAAAAAGCTACTTTTCGGCATCTCTTTCAAATACTAGTGGCCAGTCCCACTCGGCCATTGGCTAATTCCAAGATGGCGGCCCCCAGACTTACCTACAAAACCTGTAAGTATTTAGCTCTTAAAAGGCCGTGATCTTGCTATTTTTATATTGTAGCATATGAATTTTAAGTTGTTTTTCGAATTAATTAGCTAGAATTAATCGAAAATATAATTATTTCAGAATCGGAAATGGAAATATCTTGGAATCGATGCATGATATGCCAAACAACTACAACAGAAGATTTAAGATGTCCTCTTAGAGCATCTGGTTCCTGTTATGAACCTGCATCAGTCTATGCCTCTTTTTTCTTCAGAATGTTCTCGAGTTTAGCTCACTAGGTGCCCTGCCAGTCAATGTTCCCTTCGCTCTTGATATAGACACTGAAGTTTCAATTAAAAACGAGGCGTCTTGGCACAAGTCTTGCTATTTGAGATTCAATTTGTCGAAGCTACAAAAAGCCAAAGAAAGAGTATCTAGAGAAGAGGAGAAAGCCCCTKCATTAAAGAATCGACGACAATCCGTAACACACAATAAGGTGGACTGCATCTTCTGCCGTAAGGGGGGACAGCTACATGAGGTCACAACTTTTTCGACTGACCAGAATATCTGTCGCATAATTACTGAAATAAACGATGCTACGCAAGAGAATATGAAGTAAGAGAGCATATCCCTGTGACCCATGAAAGTTTCTTGAAAATCTATTTTTAGCTCCGCGCGCTAGTCTGAGCTATTTTAGCATGCGCTTCATGATTGGTCAGATTGTAGTGACGTCATAGGTACAGAAGAGATCGACAAAGCAAGCTTCACGCAGTTGACAAACCAAACTTTATTC